CATCTTTCCCCTGGAGCTTGGGAATGGGGTGGAGGCAGGCAAATGCCTGTGAAAATGAGGTGCTACCCTACACCTGCAGTCAGCCCTTAAGCTGCTGGGGATGTCACTCGAATTCATTTCCAAATTCGTCCCACACAACAAAAAGCGTTGTCCTGTTTTTCTTACCTGGAGGAAGTGGGGGCTGGGGTCAGAGGTGTGGAGAGGAGGGAGAATGTGGGGTTGAGACAGCATTTCTGAGCCCCTGGTGCCGTACTTGTGCTGATATCATGATACCAGTATACATATTTCAGGAAATTCTCATGGTTCTTTTTCCCTTTTTACAGAAAAGTAAATTGAATTTCAGAGAGATGGGACATCCTAACGTTAAAGCCATCACCCTTATGAAGATGAGTGGTCCTCAAAGAAGGGTGTGTATACTCTTTTTAACTTTATTTTTCAATTGCAGCTTACATTCAGTGTCATTTTCTATTAGTTTTAGGTGCACAGCACAGTGGTTGGGTAACCATATACTTTACAAAGTGAGCTATGTGAACGTTCCCCGGGAAGCCGGCTGCTTTCCTCCCCCGCGCCTTTGTTTTTCTGATGCTTCCTCCTTGCCTTGGTTTTTGTGCCTGTCAAACTCTGCACATCTAGCAAGCCTGAAATGGACTTCAGTGATAGGGTTGATACCCTTCGTTGCATTATTTGCTTATACCGTCTTTCCATGTAAGATTTGAAGTGGCTTTCCAAAACACAGTAAAGAGGGAAAATATACGTGAACCAGGGCCTGGGGAAAATGGGAAATTAGAACCCAGATATGTAGGCCATATACATGGTTGTTAAAGTTGAGCTGTATATCCCCCCCCCCCCCCCCCCCGCGACCATTTTTGGCATTAGCAATACTCAAATATAGCATTTGGGAAAATAAATGTTTTAGAAAATGAGAGTCCTCTTTTCCCTCCTTCCCCATGGGACCTCTGTTAACAGTTTGATGCATATCTTGCTAGTAGTTTTCTTCTCTCCCATTGTTGTCTGTGTTCAGTTGCAAGAAACAGAACCTGAAAAATAGTGACTTAAATCATAAGGACATTTATTGCTTAAGAAGCCTAGAGGTAGCTGACTGGCTTCAGGACCCATTTGTGGCTCAACAATGCACCACCTCTGGTCTGTGCGTCTGCGGTTCTCTTGGCCGGTGCCTCATGGCTACAGACGGCTGCTGCACCTCAAGTCCCGCATTCTCACACATCACGGGACATTCCTCATGGAAGGAAGGAGCTGGGGAAAAGCAGCTTCTTTCCTGGCAAGGCTTTTCCTTTTTCTTTTTTTTAAATATTGAATTTTCTTTTTAAATATTTTTATTGATTTCAAAGAGAGGAAGGGAGAGGGAAAGAGAGATAGAAACATCCATGAGAGAGACATGAGTTGGCTGCCTCTTGCACGACCCCCTACTGGGGATCAAGCCCCAAACCAGGGAATGTGCCCTGACTGGGAATCGAACCGGTGACCTCTTGGTTCATGGGTTGATGCTTAACCACTGAGCCACACCTGCCAAGCAAAGCTTTTCCTTTTGATCAAAGGAGACAGTCTGTCCTAGAAGTCACCCTGCAAACTTTCCCTCACGTTTCTTTGGCAAAAAGAACCAATTTTTCATAAAACCAATTATTCTTCATTCCAGGGGCCTGCTTGCCCTGAGTCCATAGCTATCTGGCTGTTGCTTGAAAAACTGGGCATTCTGTTTGCAAGGAGGAACGGGTCGTGGGGCAAGGAGCGGGGGCGAAGTGGGGGATGAATATGGGGAAAAACCAGCTGTGCTTACCACAGGTGCATGAGTGCATTAAAAAAATTTATCTTGGTCTTATTTTTTAACAGTAATGGGTTGGAATTGTATTATTATTCAACTCAGTATTTTCACTTAATTGCACGTATCCAGGAGATAGGGCAGTACATATAGATTTATCTCATTCTTTGTTACTATTGCATAGTATGTGGTGGTTTCCTGTCTTTTACTATTATAGAGGATGTGGCCATTAATTTTCTTATACAGCTTTCTTTGTGCACATGTGTATTCTCTAGGGGAGATATCTGGACTTAGAATTGCTGGATAAACACATTGAAAAATTTGATTAAAATACTTGATAAAAATTGTTCTCCAAAGAGGCCATGCCAGCTAAGCAGTGATAAAATGTCACTGCTAGATACCACTATTTATAACCTAACTAGAGGCCCGGTGCATGAAATTCATGCACTTGGGAGCGGGGCGGGGGTGGGGATCCCTCAGCCTGGCCTGCACCCTCTCGCAGTCCTGCACCCTCTCGGGAGCCTTTGAGGGGATGTCTGACTGATGGCTTAGGCCTGCTCCCCATCAGTCGGACATCCTTAGTGCTGCCACGGAGGCAGGAGAGGCTCCTGCCACTGCTGCTGTGCTAGCCAACCGTGAGCCCGGCTTCTGGCTGAGCAGTGCTCCCCGTGTAGCGCACTGACCACCACAGGGCAGCTCCGGCATTGAGCGTCTGCCTCCTGGTAGTCAGTGCGCATCATAGCGACTGGTCATTCCGCCCTTCAGTTGATTTGCATATTAGCCTTTTATTATATAGGGTGAATGAAAAATGATATCTATTACTTTTTAGTTGGTTGTACTCTGAGTTTTATTCCTTCCATTGAAAAAAGGACAACAAAAGTTATATGATTCGCATATTCCATAAGAGAAGTTAATACGTATTCCCCTGGGAAAGCAGCCTCCCATCACCCTCCACCTCCCAATTTTGACAGTATTTGTTGACATTTCCTTTTCTTGCTATTATTTATTCATCTTTGTATCTCCAGCATCTAGTTTAATGCTTGCTCCACATACAAGATATAAAATTTTATGAGCTTAAAAAAATCTGATATGACTCAGTGGTTGAGCGTCGACCTATGAGCCAGGAGGTCACGGTTCGATTCCTGGTCTGGGCACATGCCCAAGTTGTGGGCCCGATCACCTAGAGTTGGGTGTGCAGGAGGGAGCTGGTCAATGATTCTCTCTCATCATTGATTCTATCTCTCTATCCTTTTCCCTTCAGTGGGGCAGGGGCCTTGGCCTGGCACTGCCTGTGTCCCCCGCCACCCACTCCCGGTACCCTGTTCACCATCAGGCGATGGGAGCCTGCCGGCTGGGAGGAAAAACCGAGAGTTTGGCTATTCTGCCAGCTTGCTGGCCCCGCCCCCCGCCACCACTCATCCCAGGTTCCCTCTTGACCATTGGGCGATCAGAGCCTGACGCCCAGGGAAGGGACTGAGAAGTCAGCCGTTCTCACCTGCTTGCCAGCCCTGCCCCCACTGCAGGTCACCCTCTGTGTGTGGGGTGACCGGCAGGACGGGGGCCTTGGCCTGGCGCCACCTGTGTCTCCTGCCACCCACCCCCAGTTCTCCATTCGCCATCAGGCAATGGGAACATGCTGGCCAGTGAAAGGGACCGAGAGATGGTTGGTGCACCTCATAGTGACTGGTCAAGTGGTAGTTCTGTTTGTTCTGCTGTTAGGGTCAATTTGCATATTACCCTTTTATTATATAGGATTATATAGTACTAGAGGTCCGGTGCACAAGAGTCATGCACTTGGTGGGGGGGTCCCTCAGCCCGGCCTGTGCTCTCTCGCAGTCTGGGAGCCCTCGGGGGATATCCTACTGATGGCTTAGTGCTTCCGCGAAGATAGGAGAGGCTCCTGCCACCACCGCTGTGCTCACCAGCCATGAGCTTGGCGCTCCCCCTGTGGGAGTGCACTGACCACTAGGGAGCAGCTCCTGTGTTGAGCATCTGCCCCCTGGTGGTCAGTGCGCATCATAGCGACTGGTTGTTCTGCTGTTTGGTCGATTTGCATATTAGCCTTTTATTATATAGGACTGGATTCATTGGGGTGACAATAGTTAATAAAATTATATAGGTTTCAGGTGTACAGTTCTATAATATATCATTTACATATTGTATTGTGTGTTCATCACCCCACGTCAAGACTCCTTCCATCTCATTTATAACCCCTTTACCCTCTTCTGTCTCCCCGCACTGTAATTACCATGCTGTTGTCTGGGTCTACGAGTTTTGTTTGTTTTTGCTTGACCTGTCTTTTTTTAAAGGAAGGCCTTGAGCCCATTGGTTCTTGTCATGGGCCCCCATTCCTCCTGCTGTCAGCTGCAGGCAGGGTCTCTCTCTCCTGCCTAATGCCCCAGGATTTGTGGCCATGCCTGTAAGAACCACGGGGATGAAGGGCCAGGGCAACTAGGGAGGAAAGTGCCTGGAAAATGCCAGTGTTGTTAACTAAATATGTTATTGTGGAGAAAATGCAATTGTGGGACTGCTGATATTTTGCAGAAAATACATTTTATTTAAAATCTCTAACAGCAGTGTTTTCGTTGAGGGTAACTTCCAAGCAGCAGGGGCCACTCTGAAGTGCAGGTGGATGGCAGAGGGCACTAGAGGAATGTGAATGTAGTGGGCCCTGGCCATGGCTAGCCTAGGTCAGGGAGGCCCTGGCTTACCAGCCCAGACTAGTCTAGAACAATGGCTCCTGTCCCAGCATCAACTTCTAACTGGTCTCCCTGAACCGTGCCTTCCTGCTGGGAGCAGTCCTGCATCCTGGAGTCATACACATTGTGTGCACCTGACCCCCCCACCCCCAGGGGAAAACCAGCTGACCAGTCCTAGTTAGCATTGAACTTGTCGAGAAGATGGGACAAGTTCAACCTTGGAGGATGTAGCACAGTCATCCCGAGATTCCTATAGAGAAGGTGCAGGACGGAAAAGAGGGGAGAGGGCCTGGAAGGACTAGCCCCATAAGGTCAGAGTTTGGTTCCAGATGGAAACATTAGAGATTTTCAAAGGGAAGGTTGTGCTGTGGTTAGAGAGGAGTCACAATGTGAACGCGGGGAGTTTGGAGTTAGACCTGAAGGCAGGCGGGTGATGCCCAAGGCTTTGGAGCCATGGGAGGCCGGGGGGATGGCAGGAAGAGTAGCCTGTGGCCAGGGCAGGGTGGAGCTGGCAAGGGAGAATGGAGAACAGCCTGGTCCAGGAGAGAGGGAATGGCCTAGGCAGGGCAGTCATGGGGGCAGAGGGGAGGGGCCATTTAAGAAGAGTGGGCCGGCCGTGTGACATGCTGAATGCTGGAGCAAGCGGGAGAAGCCCTGAGACACAGGACCTGAAACCCTCTCCCCTACAGCCACCCAGCTGGTCTTTAAAGGGTGCCAATCCCAAGACCCAGCATGGACTATACTCCCTCCCTTGCTGTTCTCCCATGTTACACAAGGTGGCGCCGTGCTTGCCCTCCTTCCAGTGCGCCAAGGGGCCTCCTGCTCTCCCCATCACCGCCTCCTCCTCTGAGTGAGTTGTGTTGGCATCTCTCAGACCTGGACCCGCCCATGCTGGACACTCACCAGAGCCCTCCCCGAGGAGAAGGCCCTGCTAACCCACGTGGCAGGGTCTGTCTGGGGAGAAAGGGCTCCTGTGCCTGTGCCATGTTGTGTCAGGCAGTCACTCAACATCTCGGGACAGGAAAGAGTTTCGTGTCCGGATCTAACCCTGACTTGCCATGTATCCTCAGGCCTGTCCATGTCCCTCTCCAGCCCTTAGCCTCCTCATCTGTAAAATGGGACTGGCAACACCTTACGGGAAGTGACCTCATAACACCCGCTCCTGCGAGAGCAGCTGTACCTTCTGGATAGCATCAGCTCCCGAACCCTCCAGGGGCAGAGGGGAGGGGGTCAGGGAGGGAGGATGTCCTGCACCCAAATGTGAACGCAGCCCTGGGCCCCACTTGCTGCTTCACGGTGCCTTCCCCCACCACCAACCTGGAAAGAGAGAAGCTACATCACAGCTTGAGTCAGCGCCTACCCCCAGGACAAAGACAGTCAGCAGAGAGGAGTCAATCATTTATTGCAGGATGGGGAGTGGGGAGATGGGAGGGGAGGTTTTTTTTCTGCCAAGGGCCATTTATATATTTGTAACATCATTTTCAGGCCATACAAAATTATCAACAAATTAGCTTGCTATATTTGGTCAAACATTTAATTAACTCACCCCTAATGCTTTGGCAGGGCCAGACCCAATGATTTCAGGGGCCTTATAAGGCCCACAGGCCGGATGTTCCCCACCTCTGACTTACTGACTCTTATTGACAAGAAGTCAGTTCCCTTGGCACCAGGTGCAACATGTCTCCCCTGCTCCCCCACCCTCCAGTCGCTGGCCCCAGACCCTCAGTGCCAATCACCTTTGCAACCTGAGATCCCTGTGGGGTCTGAGAGGCACAGGGAGGCAGAAATCAAGGATTCTTGTAGTTTAAATATGTAAAGTGTGACAACCCACCAGACCCTCCGGGGCCTAGCAATGTTGGCGCAGAACAGGTGGAGGGTGGAGGGGTGGGGGAGGGGGCGGGTGAAGCCAGGAGGCCTCCAGAGTCCAGGGTAGAAAGGAACCAGATCACATTTCCGTCGGCAAGCAGGGTTTTATCTTCCGTAAGATAGCGGTAACCCATTTGTCTGTCTTCAAGGCACAGCTCTTCTTGCCTCCTTTCAATTTGAATCTGTGGGCAGAGAACCGAAAAGGCACCGAGTCACCCGCCAGGCACCACACAGGAGTCCCCTTGCCCCTCCTTACTGCTGGGTGCCCCTATGCTGCTGTCTAACAGGTGCAGTCACTGCACCTGACCCGTGGCGGCCTTACTGGGGGCGCACCCAAGCTTCAGGGGAGCTTATTAAACGGCCTTCCCTGCGCCTCTTGCCCTGAGATTTTCCCCGGTGTGTCCGAGTGGAGCTGAAGGCTGTCAACATCCTGAGGATTAGCAGGCAAGGACAGTTCCCCTCCTGGGAACCTTGGAGGGCTTCCCTGCTCTATCTTTTCCCGTGTCTGTGTACGTTAGGGACGCTCAGTCATCCTAAGGGTGTGTGTGTGTGTGTGTGTGTGTGTGTGTGTGTGTGTGTGTGTTTTCTGATCTGCCTCCTCCCACACCCCACCCTCCTGGCTCCTAAGCTTGGCCATGGACCAAGTAGACCAGTTCTGCCCTTTGTTATCTGTGTGATCTCAGACAACTCTCTCTACCTCCCTGAACCTCAGTTTTCATGATAATGAAAATATGTGACCCCTAGATGATTAACCAAGACAATATACACGAAAGTGCCTTCTAGACACCGAGCGACAGGGTGATAACGACCTGGGCAGCTATGGTGTGTACTGCACCTCACAGGTGGGACTGCAGAGGAGCACCAGGAGAGTGCGGGGCAGAGAGTCACCTGCCCAAGACCACCAAGACTAGAGGCTGGCAAATTTGGAGTCAGGCACTAATCGTGATGCCCTCACTCCTCTTGCTGTGCAGTAATAGCGGGAGCCTGTAGGCACCTCCTGTAATACTGTGTTAGGATAGAACACTTGGCTCCTCGGAGCGCCAAGAAACTCGTCACTGCAGGAACACACCGGTGCAGGCGAGGACGCGCGGAGCACCCCCTGGCGCCCGCACTCAGCTCTGCACCCAGGTTTTGAAGGCCTTGCTCCCAGGGTTTAGAAACCTTACTCTGGTGGGAGATCGCCATCTAGCGACCGCTTTTCTAATTCCAGTAGCGGTTTCTGTTCTCTGGAGGAGGAAGTCAGGAATTGAACAGGGAATGGCACTCACATTAGACGATCCTGGTGGGAGCAGGAGGAACTGGAGTTTCTGTAACACAGGATGCTCTTCGGGGAAATCGCTTTCCTTACAAATGTGAAGCAACAATTGGAAGACGGCACATCTATACTGCTTGCAAAACACCTTTCTAAAATGTAAACCTGCATGTCGTCCCCTACTTCAAACCAAGCTTTCCCCATCATTTAACAAAATAAAGTACAGCACTAGCTTGTTTTGCTCAGTGGATAGGGTGTCAGCCTGCAGACCAAAGGGTCCCTGGTTCAATCCCTGTCAATGGTGCAACCAATCCATGTGTTTCTCTCACATTGATTTTTCTCTCTACCTTTCCCTCTCCCTTCCACTCTTTCTAAAAGAAAATAAATCAAAGCAACAAACAAAAAACCTTTCCAGGACAGGCTCAGGCTTTGGGAGGGCCCTGGGGCAGCGCTGTCCCACCAGCCACCTAGTTCTGTGTTTAGGCAGAGTCAGGACACGGGGGTTCAGGTCTTAGCTCCCCACAAACCAGTGGGTGGCCTTGAGCTAGATCTCCTGGGCCCCAGACCTCCCAGCTGTAAAATAAACCAGTCTCTAGATTGGTTTCTAAAGGCTCTTCCACCTCTGACATCCCACCACTCGTGTGAGGTTCTGCCCCATTATTGGGGTTCAGGAATCTCATGCCCTGGGGGCCTGGTGAGTCTGGCCCATGCAGGATAACTATGGTCTTGGGGCAGAATTAGACACTGTTCAAGGAGCTCAAACTGAGAGAGTGACAAGGGAAGTCAGCTCCCCCACTGGATCTCAGAATGCCCTGCACCCCTGTCCTCAGCTCTGTCCTGACACCGACCCTGCCTGTTTCTACACCCCAGCCCACACCCCACCCTCCTGGCTCCTTCCTCCTGGTCTTACTGTTTACATAGCCCCTTTGGTGTATCTATCATTCTCTAAACAGCCTTGGATGTTAGACATTCTCAGTCCCACGTAAATACGGGGAAACCAGAGTTTGAGAAGTAAAGTGACTTGCCGAAGGCTAGCCAACTCTTACAGCCCCGGGTCCTGACCTCTGCCCTTTATCTGTTACCTTGTGGAGGCAAGACCCAGGGCCCCTCCGGACCTCAGGCCTCCAGCTAATAACCTCACAGCCCCCTCCATCTGTCTGCAGGGTCTGGACGAGGCAGGGCCTCCTTTTGCAGGAGCGAATGGCTCAGCTGTCTGTGGTTGCCCAAACTCCTGGTTCTCCTACGGGCCCTGTGCCCCACCCATTCCCCCTCTTCCAGAAGAATTCTTCCCGGAGCAGGGGAGATGGAGGCAGGGAGTGTAGGGTGAGCTCTGTCTGCAACCCCAGGGTGCCTGCCCACATCGCTGCCCTCCCCAAGGTGAGCTAAGGGACACCAGCCCCACTCACGGCTCCAGCTGTCCCCATCCTGCAGCCACGTCCCCACCAGCAGCAGGCACACCAGGGCCGGGGTGATGAGCTTCATCGCGGGCTGGCTCGGGTCTCTCTGGAGAGGTCTCACGAATCTGGTGAAGCAAGTGTTCTCCGTACCCCATCCTGCAGTGGCCAGGGTTTTTATAGAGCGAAATGGGTGCTCCCAGGTGGGGAAGTCATGGGGAGAAGAGGTGGGTGCACAGGTCCAGGGCCGCGTTGACCACGCCCTCCCCACCTCTCTGAGGGATGCAACGCGCAAGTGCCTGGAAACTTCCCACGTGCAGGAGCAGATAGGGATCTTGACAAAGTGGGTAGGAGCTGCCCCCTGAGAAGCTGAGAAGAGTGAGTGAGAGGAAGTGGCCTGCTTGTGGCTTCTCTGATCCCACATCTTTTCATCCAGGGATGCAGCCGCTGACCCCAGCTAAAGGGCTCTGGGCCAGGACTAAGACACATGTGCATTTGGTCCCCAGTTCTGCCAATCAGCAGTTGCGTTAACTCGCCCCAGTCACCTATCCAGGGCCTGTGCGAATGGTGGCATATGACTCATTGTTGTGCATATGACTCAGTGTTTGAGCCCTGCCCCTCTATTTCCCATTTCAATGATCTCATCACCTGACAGCTTGCCAGCAGTCCGTACGTTAGACCAGGAAAGCCACTGAGACGCACACCTGACCTCCACCTGCTGCCCTTTGACTCACAGATAAACAGTAAAAGGCCCCCAGTGTCGGGACAGCGGGAGATGAAGGCCTCAGAGAGGCCTCCCAGGGAATGTTCACCAGCAGTCTCCCACGGAGGGCTGAATGGGAAGGGGCTGTGAGGCAAGATGGAGAACGTTCATTCAGAGATGCCAGGTGGAGCTGGAGTAAGGGGTGGGGCGTGAGGGGAGTGACAGGAGTGAGGAAACGGCTGGGAGAGAGGCGACGGTACAGCTACTACCGAGTGGCCAGGTCATGACGCCACTGTGCGCAGTGCTTACAATAAGTAGCATGTAGTAGATGCTCAAGAAAGAGGATCTGGGCCAAATCTGAGGGTTAAACCATGAGGCCAGCGTGCCCTTTGCTCATCGAGTGTGGGCCGGGCTGCTCTGCGCGGCCGGCCGTGCACTCTCTAGCTCACAAAGCAGCAGTGGCTTCCCATCGTCAAGTGCACGAAGCTCAAGCTGCTCATTCGTGGCTCCTCATGGAATGTCTCCTTGGGTTCCTGCATGTCTCAATGTTTGCGATTCCTGAACTTGCCACATGCTTTTCTGTGTCCAGGACTTTGCTACTGCTGTAACCTCCACCTTCAGGGCCCTCCTCGCTGTCTCCCTCTGTGAACTTTCTCCCCATCTCCAATGCCTTTGTCTCCTTGAAGACCCTTCTGCTATTCCCATCCAGCCTCCTTTGAAGAGCCCCCACCCCCGTGCCTGGATCTCCCCCATGAAGGTCTCAGATCTCTGCACCCCTCTGCTCTGTGCATTCTTCAGAGAAACACCTGGGTGGGCGTCCTGGCGTGTCAGAGTTGAATGGGCCTGGAAGACCATATGCCAACAGTGGCTCTGAAAGTGCCCTGGGTGAGCTTTGGAAAGATGTCTTGGCCTCGTTTCAGAACCAGAATCAAAACCTAAGTACCGCCCTGGCCTGTTTGGCTCAGTGGATAGAACGTCAGCCTGTGGACTGAAGGGTCCTGGGTTTGATTCCCGTCAAGGGCACATGCCTGGGTTGCGGGCTTGGTCCAATGTGCAGGAGGCAGCCAATCAATGATTCCTTCTCATCATTGATGTTTCTCTCTCTTCCTCTTCCTTCTGCTCTGAAATCAATAAAAATATATATTTCTTACAAAAACCAAAAAACAAACAAAAAAACCTAAGTCCCGCCCTGGGCTGGCATGGCTCAGTGGTTGAGTGTCATTCTATGAAATAGGAAGTCACAGTTCGATTCCTGGTCAGGGCACATGCCCAGGTGGCGGGCTTGATCCCCGGGGCAGGGGCATGCAGGAGGCAGCCGAATGATAATTCTCTCTCATCATTGATGTTTCTATCTCTCTCTTACTCTCTGAAATCAATACAAATATATTAAAAATAACACACTAAAAAAACAACAACTTATGTACCTATACTTGTAATTCAGGCCCCAGAAGATAAGAATCACGTATCCAGCACATTCTCTTCATATTACAGATGGAAAAAAGGCATCTCAGAAAGAGGAAGCTGACTTCCCAAGGTCAAACTGAAAAGTACGGCAGAGATGGGACTGTGGACACCCAGGCCACCTAGGCATCTGACCTCCACCCCCATCGGTTCTCATGCTCCTGCCCGCTGCGGCCTGCGCCCACAGAGTACTGAGGTAGTAGACATGACTAGCTGTTGTCACTCTCCTAGTCTCTTTGTCTTTGCAGATTGTACTTTTAAAAATTTCTTTACTGTCAATTTGGCGGCGGGGGGCGCGCGGAGAGAAAAGAGACAAAGGTATGTGACCAATCTGCTGACTGTTGTAACCTTAGGTCCTTTAGACTCACTTGGGACATGGAGAGGACAGATGTGGTCACCCAGGAAATTCTTTCCTTCTCTTGGGGACACAGCTGACCCACTCGAGAAGGGGACGGGGCTGCCCCTCCAGAAACTCACTTCTCCTTCCCCGTCACTGGGAGCCAGGACTGGCAAGGAGAGAACAGAGAGCTTAGTCATGCTCCCCCCTGGACTCCTCGGCACCGGCCCCGGGGGAACTGGCTGAGACCCTCTCAGGCAGGACCTAGTGCTCCACACACCGGTCTGCCCAAGCCCAGCCTGGCCTCTTCCTCTCCAGCCCCTGGCGGAAAGGTGAGGGCCAAATCATCAGTACATCAATAACGTGCGTGGACTTGAATGAGGTGGGTCACAATGGCCTAGGATGGATCGAGAGGCAACCCTGAGCCAGTTGTTTCTACGAACAACGTTTTTCTTAGACGTTTGAGAACCAGGAAGTGCCTGTAGAAAGGCTTTCTCAGTCTCTTTTATGAAATAGGTTCCCACCTCTGGACCAGGTCCCAGCTGCCTCCTGCAAATACAAGCCCAGCTCCCAGTCAGGCCCCACAGCGTGCAAACACCTTGGGATTCAAAACCCTCTCTCGCATTTTCCAGGGCCTCTTACACTCCGCTGGGGTTCCTTTGCTCCCTATTTTCTCTCTTACAGTCAGCACTGTTGTTTTTGGAGGAGGCCTCTCTTGTCTGGCTCTCAGCGACACCGTGAAGGGGCATTAAGCATCTTTTGTAGCAACAGCAAACCTTCAGGTGCCCAGAGAAAGCCATCAGCTCTGCAGTGTTTGGACACAGCCTCTGAGCTGCTGAGCCGACAACAGCTCAGCCCCCTGTGCCCAGAGGAAGGACAAACGCCCCCGCTTACACAGTCCTGCACAGTGCGCCACACATGGGGACTTCACTCTCCCTTCTGCCTGCGATGCTCCTTCCAGCCTCATCGGGCTGACTAGCTGCAGGCCAGCCCACTTGGGCTCCCCCCTTACCCCCCTCCAGCCCCCCGTGAATGGGACCTGCTCCTTTAGCCGTTGTATTGCCTGATGGGCCACATCCCTCACTCGCCTGTAGGCCTGTACAGAGTGGCTCAACATGGAGCCCAGGGACGCGGCTGTGGGCCAGGCTTCACAAGATCCTGATGACCAAGCGCAGGCCCTGGGACCGGACTCTCCTGCAGGCCTTTTTGCCCTCTCTTGGCAGCGGAAGGCCATGAACATTTTTTTATTCAGAATAGGGGTGTGGTCAGATTTATGATTTGGACTGAAGGCTTGTGCAAGACAAGGAATGACGTCATGTGAAAGA